GAGTAGAACATGCAACAGCCCAAACTCTGAGGTCAGAGCTTCATTCACCCGAACACAGCTCCACGGCTTGTTACGCTGTCGTTATGACCATTAATGTCCCTGTTTTAGAGCTTCCCTCTGTCTCAACACGTGTGGAGCAGAGTGTGTCCTGCAGAGGGCGCTGTGACACCATGGATGAGCCCCCAGCGGTGTGTAGATGCACCACACACAGCAACACAACAACACACACAGCAACACAACAACACACACAGCAACACAACAACACACACAGCAACACAACAACACACACAGCAACACCACACACAGAAACACAACAACACACACAGCAACACAACAACACACACAGCAACACCACAACACACACAGTAACACAACAATACAACAACACACAGCAACACCACACACAGCAACACAACAACACACAGCAACACCACACACAGCAACACAACACCACACACAGCAACACAACAACACACACAGCAACACCACAACACACACAGCAACACCACACACAGCAACACAACAACACACACAGCAACACCACACACAGCAACACAACAACACACACAGCAACACAACAACACACACAGCAACACAACAACACACACAGTAAGACAACAACACAACATCATTCATTTGTCCATTATTGTTGTTTATTTTCTTGATAAAAACACATTCTTGGATCCTTCTGGAAACGCATCGGCCTGAATTGTATAAATGACGATCAGAGAATTCTTTTGTAGAGAGTCCTTAGGCTTCTCCAACAGAGCCTCAGTGGACTCTGGAGGAGCAGTGACTCTACGCCGAGCTCTGCATCTCATTGGGAGCTAGAGCAGAGAGCAGGATTACAGTTGTAACAACACAAGACCAGTAACTGGTCTGTGACACCAGAGAGACCAGAAAGAGATCAGGGAGAGACCAGAAAGAGACCAGAGAGAGACCAGAGAGAGATCAGAGAGAGACCAGAGAGAGACCAGAGAGAGACCAGAGAGAGACCAGAGAGAGACCAGAGAGAGAGACCAGAGAGAGACCAGAGAGAGACCAGAGAGAGATCAGAGAGAGACCAGAGAGAGACCAGAGAGAGACCAGAGAGAGACCAGAGAGAGACCAGAGAGAGACCAGAGAGAGATCAGGAAGAGACCAGAGAGAGATCAGAAAGAGACCAGAGAGAGACCAGAAAGAGACCAGAGAGAGACCAGAGAGAGACCAGAGAGAGATCAGGAAGAGACCAGAGAGAGACCAGAAAGAGACCAGAGAGAGACCAGAAAGAGACCAGAAAGAGACCAGAAAGAGACCAGAGAGAGATCAGGAAGAGACCAGAGAGAGACCAGAAAGAGACCAGAGAGAGACCAGAGAGAGATCAGGAAGAGACCAGAGAGAGACCAGAAAGAGACCAGAGAGAGACCAGAAAGAGACCAGAAAGAGACCAGAGAGAGATCAGGAAGAGACCAGAGAGAGACCAGAAAGAGACCAGAGAGAGACCAGAAAGAGACCAGAAAGAGACCAGAAAGAGACCAGAGAGAGATCAGGAAGAGACCAGAGAGAGACCAGAAAGAGACCAGAGAGAGACCAGAAAGAGACCAGAGAGAGATCAGGAAGAGACCATAGAGAGACCAGAAAGAGACCAGAGAGAGACCAGAAAGAGACCAGAAAGAGACCAGAAAGAGACCAGAGAGAGATCAGGAAGAGACCATAGAGAGACCAGAAAGAGACCAGAAAGAGACCAGAAAGAGACCAGAGGGACCTGAAAAAGATCAGAGCGACCAGAACCCTAAATCCCCTGTGTGGCCACATAATTTTTTCAAACATGCACATTATATTTATGTTTTACATATATCAATATAACAGACACATAACTTGCACCTGGTTCTAAAAGGGGTTGGATGAAGCAGAGGCCTTATTTGGGCACATACACTTTCTAACTTCCTCTTAGTCTGTCATTATGATGAGCATCACATGTTTTTGATTTCTTCTTCTCCATCGTCGCTGTGGTCCTCACCTGAACATAAAACATGTCTGTACATGAGGAATAATGTGGGTCCCAGGATCGACCCTTGTGGTACTCCACGTGTTATGTTCGGACACATTTTTGATAAAGCCCCGGAGTTCTGTGTCATTACATTTTCCAGTGTTTTGGAGAACTGAAGCAAAGGGACACAGGTCTGCAGTTGGTGAAACAGGTTTTGTCTCCCGATTTGAAAAGTGAGATCCTTTTTTCCAGTTTCATTTTGGAAGTGACCGAGTTGGAAGGATAAGTTACAGATGTATGTAAAGGTTCAGCGACTTCTTCATATCAACATCATTTATGTCACATGATGTTTTGTTAGTTCCTTTGTACCTCTCTCGTCAGTGGGAGCGAGGAACCTTGAGTTGGACTTGGTTTTGGACTCCTCCGATGTTCGTGTTTGACCGGGATGTTTCGAGCCAAACTCAGGTTCTACATTATTAGGAGTTTGACTGTAGTCTGTTCATTGCTATTCACCCGTCCCATTGTCTGTTTCATGAATGATGGGACCTCTGAACCTGGCCCCCTCCATCTACACCTACCCTGCTCAACCCTGGGAGCTGCCTGCACCGTGTGGCCTTGGTCCTCGTTCTACAGTCTGAGTCCTGGATCTACAGCCCGTCTGTCTGTGTGGATCTCTCTCTCTGTGGATCTGAGGTTTCTCACTTTTTTCCCACTGGGTGTCAGAGTGTTTCCTCTGATGCAGGAGTCTGTTGGACAGTTAGGGTCTAACAAAAGGACTGTGGTGATCCAGGACACTGCAACATTCTACATGTATGACACTGGTCTCTCCCTATGGTCCAATACCATGTGGTCTCTCCCTATGGTCCAATACCATGTGGTCTCTCCCTATGGTCCAATACCATGTGGTCTCTCCCTATGGTCCAATACCATGTGTTTTGTCTGTGTATGATTCTCTGATCTGTGTTGGAGAATTCAACAATTTTTTAAAGTCCTCTGAGAAAATACTGTTGTGTAGACCAGAGAGAGAGACCAGAGAGACCAGAGAGAGAGACCAGAGAGACCAGAGAGACCAGAGAGAGAGACCAGAGAGAGACCAGAGAGAGAGACCAGAGAGAGAGACCAGAGATAGACCAGAGAGAGAGAGACCAGAGAGAGAGACCAGAGAGAGACCAGAGAGAGAGACCAGAGAGAGAGACCAGAGAGAGAGAGACCAGAGAGAGACCAGAGAGAGACCAGAGAGAGAGACCAGAGAGAGAGACCAGAGAGAGACCAGAGAGAGACCAGAGACAGAGACCAGAGAGAGACCAGAGACAGAGACCAGAGAGAGACCAGAGACAGAGAGACCAGAGAGAGACCAGAGAGAGACCAGAGAGAGAGACCAGAGAGAGACCAGAGTGAGAGACCAGAGAGAGAGACCAGAGAGAGAGAGACCAGAGAGAGACCAGAGACAGAGACCAGAGAGAGACCAGAGAGACCAGAGAGAGACCAGAGAGAGACCAAAGAGAGACCAGAGAGAGACCAGAAAGAGAGACCAGAGAGAGAGACCAGAGAGAGACCAGAGAGAGAGACCAGAGATAGAGACCAGAGAGAGAGACCAGAGACAGAGAGACCAGAGAGAGACCAGAGAGAGAGACCAGAGAGATCAGAGAGAGACCAGAGAGAGAGACCAGAGAGAGACCAGAGACAGAGAGAGAGACCAGAGAGACCAGAGAGAGACCAGAGAGAGACCAGAGAGAGACCAGAGATAGAGACCAGAGAGAGACCAGAGAGAGAGACCAGAGACAGAGAGACCAGAGAGAGACCAGAGAGAGAGACCAGAGAGAGACCAGAGAGAGAGACCAGAGACAGAGAGACCAGAGAGAGACCAGAGAGAGAGACCAGAGACAGAGAGAGACCAGAGAGAGACCAGAGAGAGACCAGAGAGAGACCAGAGAGAGAGACCAGAGAGAGGTGTAAATATAGAAGCACTTTTATTTATTTCTCGTCCAAATAAAGTCTCTTCTAACTGTAGGAGGATTCAGAGCCTCAGGACGGTTCTGATCCAAAGTGAGTGAATAAGTTCCCGACACTGGACACTGGTTTATGAAAGAGTCATTTATTGACTAAAGCGGAGGGTGACACACACACACACACACAGGACGAAGCAGCAGCAGGAACAGCCCACTACACACGACAAAAACACCTCCATACGAGTTCACATCTCTCTCCTGATCTACTCTGTGTTTGATTTCAGACGACTGGACTCAGAGACCAGAGAGAGACCAGAGAGAGACCAGAGAGAGACCAGAGAGAGACCAGAGAGAGAGACCAGAGAGAGAGACCAGAGAGAGACCAGAGAGAGACCAGAGAGAGACCAGAGAGAGAGACCAGAGAGAGACCAGAGAGAGACCAGAGAGAGACCAGCGAGAGACCAGAGAGAGACCAGAGAGAGACCAGAGAGAGAGACCAGAGAGAGACCAGAGAGAGACCAGAGAGACACCAGAGAGACACCAGAGAGAGAGACAGAGACTGTCTACAGTGTACATCAGTCCAAATTGAGGCCCTCTGTGTCATGTTGTGAGGCCCTCAGACACAGACCTGGTAAACCTGTGTATTTGAGCGTCTCTCTGAGATCATCTGGACCGGGATCATTACGTCATAAAGATATCATCTTGAATCATCAGCGCGACACTGGCTCAGTTTGTAGAGCGATGGGCTTCAAACCAAACAGTCGAGGGTTTGATTCCCTGCGAGACTGACTCCATCTGCTCCCACTGATCTCTGCTGTGGTTGTGTCTCTGAGCAAGACACTTAACCCAGCTGAAAGACCAAGGCTGGTACCACCCACAGGAGGACCAGGAGCTAGTACCAGGAGGGCATTTTCCCTAAAACTCATTAAAACTCATTGAAACTCATTGAATGTATATTTAGCTAATGGGGATTTAAAAAAAACAAACGGTAAATTCTGAAATCAAACACAAGTGACTGAACTCGTTTCGATAGTTTTTGTCGCTGGTCTCCATGGCTACGTCTCACTGCAGTAAAGTCTCGCTCACCGCCGCTGTGCGTACGGCGTCTCGGCAGAGCGCGCAGTGATCTTAAAGTGGCGGCGCAGGAAGCCGCCGTAGCGCTTGTCCCACTTCAGGTTGTTGAGTTTGGGTCGAATGCGTCTCATGAACCCGCCGTAGCGCTTCTGCAGCTCTGCGGGGACCTCCTCCTCCCCTGGCTCCTCCCCTAGCGCTGCCCCTGGCCCCTCCCATGGCCCCTCCCCTAGCTCTGCCCCTGGCTCCTCCCCTAGCTCTGCCCCTGGCCCCTCCTCTAGCTCCGCCCCTGGCCCCGCCTCTAGACTCTCACGGCTCACGTCTTCCACAGAACTCCTCCGTGTCTTCGGTCCAAACTTGCGCAGGAAGCCCCCGTATCGCTTGCGGATATCCTGGTCACGCTGCAGCCGCTGGAGCGTGCTGAGGGCGCCACTCCAGGGCGCCGCCTTGTGGTTGATCCTTTTGATGAAGCCGCCGTAGCGTTTGACCAGAGCGGCCTCTCGACTGTCCTCCTCCGCGGCCGCTGCGTCCTCACTCCAGTCCAGACGCTGCTCCGGGCTCCGGGCGCCGCAGTCACCGAGCTCCAAACACTGCTCACTGCACTGCACACAAACACACACACACAGTTAGTACAGGTGTGTGTGTCTGTGTGTGAGTGTGTCTGTGTGTGTGTGTGTGTATGTGTGTGTGTGAGTGTGTCTGTGTGTGTGTGTGTGTGTGTCTGTGTGTGTGTGTGTCTGTCTGTGTGTGTGTGTGTGTGTGTGTGAGTGTGTGTGTGTGTGTCTGTGTGTGTGTGAGTGTGTCTGTGTGTGTCTGTCTGTGTGTGTGTGTGTCTGTGTGTGTGTGTGTGTGTGTCTATACAGTAGCTAGGAGCATTATGGGAGAAGGAGGCAGAACTCAGTTACCGTCACAGAGGCAGAAATTTGAGAAAGAGTCTCAGGTATGAAAACCTGGACAGCACCTGGCCCTGAAATGGGCCATGCTACTGGCTAAGGACACTCACATCCCTGCATGAGCGCCTAGCAGCACAAATGGTTGGCTTCTGGGACTCACCCGGAATGGCTAACCGAAGGAAGAACGGTCCTGATCATGAAGGACCTTGTCAAGGGTGCAGTCCCCTCTAACTACCGGCCAATAACACCAGAGGAGCCAAACACCAGCTCCTGTAGAGACACCAGAGGAGCCAAACACCAGCTCTTGTAGACACCAGAGGAGCCAAACACCAGCTCCTGTAGAGACACCAGAGGAGCCAAACACCAGCTCCTGTAGAGACACCAGAGGAGCCAAACACCAGCTCCTGTAGACACCAGAGGAGCCAAACACCAGCTCCTGTAGAGACACCAGAGGAGCCAAACACCAGCTCCTGTAGAGACACCAGAGGAGCCAAACACCAGCTCCTGTAGAGACACCAGAGGAGCCGATCACCAGCCTCTGTAGAGACACCAGAGGAGCCAAACACCAGCTCCTGTAGAGACACCAGAGGAGCCAAACACCAGCTCTTGTAGACACCAGAGGAGCGAAACACCAGCTCCTGTAGAGACACCAGAGGAGCCGATCACCAGCTCCTGTAGAGACACCAGAGGAGCCGATCACCAGCTCCTGTAGAGACACCAGAGGAGCCGATCACCAGCTCCTGTAGAGACACCAGAGGAGCCAAACACCAGCTCCTGTAGAGACACCAGAGGAGCCAAACACCAGCTCCTGTAGAGACACCAGAGGAGCCAAACACCAGCTCCTGTAGAGACACCAGAGGAGCCAAACACCAGCTCCTGTAGAGACACCAGAGGAGCCAAACCCCAGCTCCTGTAGAGACACCAGAGGAGCCAAACACCAGCTCCTGTAGAGACACCAGAGGAGCCAAACACCAGCTCCTGTAGAGACACCAGAGGAGCCAATCACCAGCTCTTGTAGACACCAGAGGAGCCAAACACCAGCTCCTGTAGAGACACCAGAGGAGCCAAACACCAGCTCCTGTAGAGACACCAGAGGAGCCAAACACCAGCTCCTGTAGAGACACCAGAGGAGCCAAACACCAGCTCCTGTAGAGACACCAGAGGAGCCGATCACCAGCTCCTGTAGAGACACCAGAGGAGCCAATCACCAGCTCCTGTAGAGACACCAGAGGAGCCAAACACCAGCTCCTGTAGAGACACCAGAGGAGCCAAACACCAGCTCCTGTAGAGACACCAGAGGAGCCAAACACCAGCTCCTATAGACACCAGAGGAGCCGAACACCAGCTCCTGTAGAGATACCAGAGGAGCCAAACACCAGCTCCTGTAGAGACACCAGAGGAGCCAAACACCAGCTCCTGTAGAGACACCAGAGGAGCCAAACACCAGCTCCTGTAGAGACACCAGAGGAGCCAAACACCAGCTCCTGGTTGACAGAACAGACTGCCGGTCACGACACACCAACCTGTGCACAGCCTGGATTGATTACCTGAAAGCCTACGACTCAATGCCACACACACAACAGGGCTCTAAGGGACTTCTTTGCAAACTCAATGGGGATGTGGAAGACCACCCTTGAGGCAAATGGTCGCTCGCACAAGTGACCATCGAAGGGCAGAAGAAAGCAGTGGTGGTGGACAAAAGAACACATAAAGCCTGAGAAAAACCAAGGGCTCAGAGAGGAGCTGGAGAGAGTCTGAAGGTAAAGGAGACAGTAGTGAGAGAGTCTGAAGGTAAAGGAGAGTAGTGAGAGAGTCTGAAGGTAAAGGAGACAGTAGTGAGAGAGTCTGAAGGTAAAGGAGACAGTAGTGAGAGAGTCTGAAGGTAAAGGAGACAGCAGTGAGAGAGTCTGAAGGTAAAGGAGACAGCAGTGAGAGAGTCTGAAGGTAAAGAGAGAGTAGTGAGAGAGTTTCAAGGACCGAGCTGAGAGGTGTGTTTTCATATATATATATATATATATATATATATATATATATATATATATATATATATATATATATATACAGTATATATGTTTGTGTGAGTGTGTATATGTGTGTCTATATAGTTCTAGGTATGTGTGTGCTTATATGTCCGTATGTTTGTATTTATGGATGTGTGTGTGGGTGTATACGTGTGTGTAAATATCTGTGTGTGTGCGTGTGTGTATATATGTGTGTGTGGGTGTATGCATGTGTGTATATATATGTGTGTGCGTGTTTCTATATGTGTGTGTTTAAATATGTGTGTGTAGCTGTGATCAGAGAGACCTCATTAATACTGAGGTGGTCGTTCTTGTTGGCCGGGTATGGTCTCTCCGTGTCTAGTTGTCGTTGTGTTTGTGTTTTTATGGTGTTTAATTGTCGTCATGTTTCTGTGAGAATCCTGGATATAAATAACTCTCACACTGTTTGGTGCTAAAGCCTGCGACAACACAACAACAACAACAACTGTAACCGCAAGTGGCATTGAGCGGCCCTCGCCTAAAAAAACTCTACACTACCCTACTCTACTCTACTCTACACTGCTCTACCCTACTCTACTCTATCCTACCCTACTCTACTTGAACTCTATCCTACCCTTCTCTACTCTACTCAACCCTGCCTTACTCTGCTATACTCTACCCTACTCTACTCTACTTCACTGTATCCTCAACTGAGTGTTTCCTCTGGTCCTGCGTAACCAGTACCAGGTCCATCTTTAGTCCCTCTTGGTCCTGGTTCTATCCAGACCGAGCTGGTACTAAAGTGTACCAACTGTGATTGGTCTGATTGCTGCTGGAAGCCGTGGTTACCGAGGAATTTCCTCTGATAACTGTTTGTTTTGGGTAGGTTGCTACAATACAATACCAGATACTTAAGCATAATGGAAGCAAAACCAGGCAGAGTAGTATAGGGTAGAGTAGAGTAGAAAAGAGTAGAGTAGAGTAGAGCACACCCAAAGGCATCGCAAGATTTTCTAAACTCATTCGGCCAAGACTGTGCTGTGAGCGCAGCTTTAAAGGAAAAACCATTTTTAAAGAAACAATCCAAGGAGAAGTAGAGAACAGAGAGAGGAGTGGCATGCTGCTAACAGATTTTGTATAATATTTAAATCTGAAACCACATAAAGGTCTGATCCTACTGAGCTGTTGTTGCTGTTGTGTTGTTGCTCCTAACCATTTAAACTGAAGCCTGTCAGGCTGATGGCACATCCTCCACTCTGCTTCACGGCCACCGCAGTCAAACCTCATCGCCCACTGTCTCTGCTGCGTTGGACCCTCTGTGTGTGTGGACCCCATATGTGTGAGACAGCCCCTGTAAGTGTGTGTGTGGAACGGGCCCCATAAGTGTCAGACAGCCCCTGTGTGTGTGTAGACCCCATAAGTGTCAGACAGCCCCTGTGTGTGTGTAGACCCCATAAGTGTCAGACAGCCCCTGTGTGTGTGTAGACCCCATAAGTGTCAGACAGCCCCGTGTGTGTGTGGACCCTATAAGTGTGAGACCTCCCTGTGTGTGTGTGGACCCCATAAGTGTGAGACAGCCCCTGTGAGTGTGTGTGTGGAACGGGCCCCATAAGTGTCAGACAGCCCCGTGTGTGTGTGGACCCCATAAGTGTCAGACAGCCCTGTGTGTGTGTGGACCCCATAAGTGTGAGACAGCCCATGTGGGAGTGTGTGTGGAACAGGCCCCATAAGTGTCAGACAGCCCCATGTGTGTGTGTGGACCCCATAAGTGTGAAGCAGCCTTTGTCTATGAAGAGAGTGTACGTTTCCATAGAGATGTTAATGGGCGTCTGCACACTACTGGGGTCCACACAGACCCAGGGGCCGTCCCTCAATTATGGGGTCCTCACACACACACAGGGGCGGTCCCACACTTATGGGGTCCTCACACACACACACAGGGGCTGTCCACACTTATGGGGTCCTCACATATACACAGGGGCTATCCAACACTTACGGGGTCCTCACACACAAACGCACACACAGATAGGGGTTATCGCACACATTTCTATGATTTGGCTTTTTTACACAAGCAATAATGAAACATTTATGATAGTGACCTGTACTTTATTTTTAAGATGTATTTTATTTGTGTGTTTTATTTGTAATGTCTGCAAAGCACTTTGTGACAGTATTGTTTGTTTTTTAAAATATGCTATATAAATAAACTTGACCTTGACTTATGGAGTCCACACACACAAACGCAGTCAAACACACAGTGGATTTTAGGATTAATGTTAAAGCTGCACTAACTGACTTTATTTTCGTATTAATTACGAAAATGCTATCCATGTCCATGTAGTGCATTGGGATATACGTCCTTTTGAAGAAAAAGTAGCGCAGATTTGTGCTGGCCTGACATTATATTTTCGATTGAGTTTTGATAAAACAAGGAAGAGAATGAGTTTCGGGTCGCAGATTGTGACCAATCACAGTGGACCACTAGCCCCCACTTTCGTGAGAAATCTACAGGTCCCCGTTAGCACAGACAGCTGAGTTAGCACAACAAGCGGCGGAGCTAACCTGAAACTTTCTCGTCTTCGTCACCGGGTACTGCTTACACAGCGAAACAGCCATCCAAAAGAAAGTCTCGTTCCTCCGCGCTTCCCGGTTCTATCGTTCTATGGTCACACCATCCACGTGAAAATCCATATCCATGGTTTATCCATATTGGGAGAGGCTAGCTCCGTCTCAACACTGTGTGTGTGTGGGGGGCGATAGCTTCATGGGTGCGGGGAGGGGAGCAGAAAGAGCGAGGCCAGCGAGTCCGCGGCTTCAAAATCCCAAAGTCAGTTAGTGCAGCTTTAAGAGACAATTACATAACTCTACTCAGAAAGAAGGTCCTGGGTTCAAATCCCAGTAACAAGCAAATGGCCACAATTGTAAAGTGCTTTGTGACTCTGGTCTGTAAAAGGCGGTATATAAATAAAGATTACTTACTTATATAAATAATAGGTGCTATATAAATAAAGATTTCTATAAATATAGATTACTTACTAAAAAGGACGGGAATTGATTATAAAAGTAACTTATTAATTGCATATCTACAAAAAATGAATCGCGATTCAAAAAGGCCCAATAATTAATCGCAGTTTTATTGTATTGTCAGCTTCTAATAAACATTCATTCATATATATATATATATATTTTTTTTTATTTTATTTTTTTTATTTTATCCCTGAGTTTAGACCTCTAGAAATAAATTCTGAAATGTAAGTTTAAGTGCATAGTTTAGTAGCTTTTTTCAAGTACAATCCCTCATCATCAACGACTTCGTTGGACGGCAGTTCGAGCAACCCAACACACAATGGCATTGTTATCTCCTCATTGATCTGTAGCAAGCGGCCCCTCTTGCACCAAACTTCTCCTTTAGAGTTGTTTGCCGTGGTCGGCTTGACGATAAGGCAAACGGACGCTTCGCTCGTAAGAGTGGCTTCTGTTGCTTTTTTCATTACCAGCTAAGATTGTAGGATTAGCCACAGGAAACTGAAGCCTGTCTTCTTCTACGGCTCCGTCACTGAGATCGACAGGCTCATTAATCGATGCATCAATTTATTTTAACGAGTTAAAATTAAACAATTAATGAAAATCTTTAACATGCTAATTTTCACAGCCCTAGTTACTAAACATGGGCTTGGATGTGTGGTTTCAGATCCAAATGTTCTGATCTGGTAAAAGCGGGCTCACACTTAAGCCTAGTTTATACTCGCGCGGAGCTTACGGAGGTGACGTGACGTCACTTGCGCAACGCGTTGGTCACCGCAAGGCCCTTACGTCGCCTGCCGCGCAGCATCGACATTTTCTAACTACCTAAGGGTCGCCGCAAGGAAGCTCCGCTGTGATTGGTCCGTGTGTGTGTATTGGAAGGTAGCACGGAGCGGCTGCAGCAGGAGCATGGACGAGGCACTATGGAGCAGAGAGCTTTGTGCTTCGAAGGAAAAGCAGTTTGGACAGAGCCTGATATACAGGAGACTGTGGATCTAACATATATATATAACGTATATCTAACATATATATATAACTTATATCTAACATATATATAACTTATATCTAACATATATATAACTTATAAACTGTTCCTGTCTTGTTTGAATCGTAGCTGCGTTTGTTGCTTTCCTCCTGCACTCGTAAATCGTTCATGTTTGTCTCAGATATTTACCACTATTATTGTTTTGCTGTTTGTGCTGAAAACTATTTAATAATAACTATGTTTCCAACAAGAACTGTGTCTTTATTCACAGCATCACAGTTGAAATGACTTATAAAATAATGAATCCATAAAACTATCACATAAACCTACAGTAGAAACACGTGTAATGAGCTCAAACAGCTTTGTTTGTTATTGTTGTTCTGAAGAGGATAAAGTAGCAGCGTAAATGGGACCGCTCCTGTGTGATCGCCCTCATGTGGTTTGTTGTGGGATTACAACATTCTCCTCAAAACTCTGTAAGGGGAACGCGCCAGTATAACATCAATTGTGCTTACGTAGGTCCACCGCAACCGCTAACGTAAGCCACGCCGCGCAAGTATACTCTAGGCTTTACGAGTGTGAGACTGCCCCTGTGTGTGTATTAAGAGCGTGTGTGTCTTTTGTTTGTGTCTTGTTCCTTCAAAGCTTAAACAAAACTTACAAATTGATTCTGAAACAAAAGTTGCATAAACGGCACGTCACTCGTTATCTATCTGTTCTCTGTTTCTCTCTGGATCGTTTCTTTATTTTAATTTTTCCTTTAACCCTGTATATTTTTAAATAAATACAAGAAAATCACTTGTAGAGCGCAGACCTCTACCAAGAGGCGCAGTCCCATTCTTTTGTCTCTCTCTGGTCTCTCTCTGGTCTCTCTCTCTGGTCTCTCTCCGGTCTCTCTCTGGTCTCTCTCTCCGGTCTCTCTCTGGTCTCTCTCTGATCTCTCTCTCTGGTCTCTCTCTGATCGCTCTCTCTGGTCTCACTCCGGTCTTTCTCTCCGGTCTCTCTCTGGTCTCTCTCTCTGGTCTCTCTCTGGTCTCTCTCTCTGGTCTCTCTCTGGTCTCTCTCTCTGGTCTCTCTCTCTAGTCTCTCTCTGGTCTCCCTCTGGTCTCTCTCTGGTCTCTCTCTCTGGTCTCTCTCTCTAGTCTCTCTCTGGTCTCCCTCTGGTCTCTCTCTGGTCTCTCTCTCTGGTCTCTCTCTGGTCTCTCTCTGGTCTCTCTCTCCGGTCTCTCTCTGGTCTCTCTCTGGTCTCTCTCCGGTCTCTCTCTCCGGTCTCTCTCTCCGGTCTCTCTCTGGTCTCTCTCTGATCGCTCTCTCTGATCTCTCTCTGGTCTCTCTCTCTAGTCTCTCTCTGGTCTCTCTCTGGTCTCTCTCTCCGGTCTCTCTCTGGTCTCTCTCTGGTCTCTCTCCGGTCTCTCTCTCCGGTCTCTCTCTGGTCTCTCTCTCCGGTCTCTCTGGTCTCTCTCTGATCGCTCTCTCTGATCTCTCTCTGGTGTCTCTCTCTGGTCTCTCTCTCCGGTCTCTCTCCGGTCTTTCTCTCCGGTCTCTCTCTGGTCTCCCTCTCCGGTCTCTCTCTGGTCTGTTTCTCTGATTTCTTTCTTATTTTCAGACAGAGAAGTGAAAAGAGAGAATCTCCCTCAGCCCAAAGCGTGCAAACGTTATTGACATCAATTAAGATGAAAACAGAATCTTTTTATCTGAGCATTTACAAGACCCTGATGGACCAACAATAAAATCTGTGTCATTTGTCAGACTAAAGTTAGGTTCCCCGGCTTTAATTGACACGCCCAGCCGATCCCGTGTATATGTAGTCTGAGTACGAGTGTGTAAGTATAAGTATGCGTTAGTATAAATACATGAAAGTATAAGTACGCGTAAGTATAAATACATGAAAGTATGAGTACGCGTAAGTATAAGACTCTCACCAGTCTGGCCTCGGTCCCGGCTCTGGACACCATCGCGCACCTCTCGCACTGCGCGGAGCAGAGAGCGCGCACGGAAGGAGGCAGACTGAGGACCAGGGCGAGGACTAACCACTCCATCATGTCCGGGCACGCGCACAACACACGCACGCGCACAGGTCTCGAGAGGAGGAGGAGGTGGAGGAGGACACCTGTTCCAAGAGAGTCCCGAGTGCGCGCGTAACAGCCCCGTGCGTAACAGGCTCTTGAGACGCCAGATGGCCCCACGTTCCAGGGGAGAGGGGCAGGGACTCCCTCTGAATCTGGACCAGATTCCGGCTTCTCCGGGTCTGGGGTCAGTCTCCAGCTCCAGGAGAGAGTTGGGGCAGTTTTTTTGGCTCTTAGTGAAGTTGTTCAGGCTCCTCTGGGTCTGGTTCAGTTTTTCTTCTTCTGGGTCTGGTCTGGTCTAGATATGGGTCTGATATGACTCCTGCTCCGGTCTCAGGTCGTGAGAGACCCAGACACGCGCTTTTATGGCGGGGTCCGCGCGCGTGTCACACTCAACCTCCAATGAGCGCTGCCCCGCCCACACGGAAAACAGAGAGAGAGAGAGAGAAACCAATCTTCATCTGTATAATGAGCTCCCTTCTGTTGCTTCCTAATTGTTCTCACTTTAAATGTTTAAATCTTTTACAAGTTTCTCTTACTTTGAAAACTACAGACGATTAAAGCTGAGGGACGTAACTTTAGTCTCATGGTGTCTGAACAGAGAGAGACCAGAGAGAGAGACCAGAGAGACCAGCAAGAGACCAGCGAGAGACCAGGGAGAGAGACCAGAGAGAGACCAGCAAGAGACCAGCGAGAGACCAGGGAGAGAGCAGAGAGAGTCCAGAGAGAGGCCAGCAAGAGACCAGCGAGAGACCAGGGAGAGAGCAGAGAGAGTCCAGAGAGAGGCCAGAGAGAGGCCAGAGAGAGACCAGCAAGAGACAGGGAGAGACCAGAGAGAGTCCCAGGGACCCATTACCAGAGAGGTCTTTGAGGTCCTAAAGAAGTCTCATGGACGAGCTCCAGGGCCACATTACAGCGTCACTGAAGCCTCTAAAGCTCAGGACCTGAATTATTTCCTCATAAATCAGAGAGAGCACAATGTGTGTGTGTGTATACGTTTGTGTGCGTGTGTGTGTGAGAGAGAGAGTGTGGGTCTGTGTGTGTGAGAGAAAGAGTATGTTTGTATGCGTGTGTTTATGAGAGAGAGTGTGTTTGTGTGTTTATGAGAGAGTGTGTGTTTGTATGAGAGAGTGTGTGTGTGTGTTTATGAGAGAGAGTGTGCGTGTGTTTATGAGAGAGAGGGGGTGTGTGTGTGTATGAAAGAGAGTGTGTGTGTGTATGAGCGAGAGTGTGTTTGTGGGTGTGTATGAGAGAGTGTTTGTGTGTGTGTGTGTTTATGAGAGAGAGTGTGTGTGTGTGTATGAGAGTGTGTGTGTGTTTATGAGAGAGTGTGTGTGTGTATGAAAGAGAGTGTGTGTGTGTATGAGAAAGAGAGTGGTTGTCCTCCAGGGACAGGAGCTCACACTCTGTGTGTGTCTAACCATGATCGACCATAGCGTCGCTGTCAAATGAATAAATAACACAAATAAAAAAATAAAAACCTTTGAATGAAGCCGATCCCTGTGAGTCGCTGTGTGCCTCTTTGGGCTGGCAGCTGATTGGTCGATGGCCGAGGGTCACATGATCTGAGCGTTACCTGAAGGTCGCTGAGATACTACAATAGCGATGACAGTGACAGCGTTACCGTGGCGACGGTGAATGCCTTACGCACATTTCTCAAGTGTATTTCTGTCTGATTCTCTTTACTTCATTTCAACATCAGCCGCAGATGAACTCCTCGTTTCCACGGAGACGCTGCGGCCGCGCCTCCAACACTGATCCAAGCAATCAACCCACTTCTTCCACTCTATCTGTGGCCGGGTCACAGGGGCAGCCATCCCCAGGCCAGCTGAGAAACTGTCCTCTCTCCTCAGTCCTCTCTCCTCAGTCCTCTCTCCTCTGTCCTCTCTCCTCTGTCCTCTCTCCTCTGTCCTCTCTCCTCAGTCCTCTCTCCTCAGTCCTCTCTCCTCTGTCCTCTCTCCTCTGTCCTCTCTCCTCTGTCCTCTCTCCTCAGTCCTCTCTCCTCAGTCCTCTCTCCTCAGTCCTCTGTCCTCTCTCCTCAGTCCTCTCTCCTCAGTCCTCTGTCCTCTCTCCTCTGTCCTCTCTCCTCAGTCCTCTCTCCTCTGTTCTCTCTCTTCTGTCCTCTCTCCTCTGTCCTCTCTCCTCTGTCCTCAGTCCTCTCTCCTCTCTCCTCAGTCCTCAGTCCTCTCTCCTCTGTCCTCTGTCCTCAGTCCTCTCTCCTCAGTCCTCAGTCCTCTCTCCTCTCTCCTCTGTCCTCAGACCTCAGTCCTCAGTCCTCTGTCCTCAGTCCTCTCTCCTCTGTCCTCTCTCCTCTGTCCTCTCTCCTCTGTCCTCTATCCTCTGTCCTCTCTCCTCTGTCCTCTCTCCTCTGTCCTCTCTCCTCTGTCCTCTGTCCTCTCTCCTATGTCCTCTCTCCTCTGTCCTCAGTCCTCTCTCCTCTGTCCTCTGTCCTCTCTCCTCTGTCCTCTCTCCTCTGTCCTCTCTCCTCTGTCCTCTCTCCTCTGTCCTCTGTCCTCTGTCCTCTGTCCTCTCTCCTCTGTCCTCTGTCCTCTCTCCTCTGTCCTCTCTCCTCTGTCCTCTCTCCTCTCTCTTCTCTCCTCTGTCCTCTGTCCTCTCTCCTCTGTCCTCTCTCCTCTGTCCTCTGTCCTCTCTCCTCTCTCCTCTGTCCTCCCTCCTCTGTCCTCTCTCTTCTCTGTCCTCTCTCCTCTCTCCTCTCTCCTCTCTCCTCTGTCCTCTGTCCTCTCTCCTCTGTCCTCTGTCCTCTCTCCTCTCTCCTCTGTCCTCTCTCCTCTCTCCTCTGTCCTCTCTCCTCTGTCCTCTCTCCTCAGTCCTCTCTCCTCAGTCCTCTCTCCTCTCTCCTCTGTCCTCTCTCCTCTCTCCTCTCTCCTCTGTCCTCTCTCCTCTCTCTGTCCTCTCTCCTCTGTCCTCTCTCCTCTGTCCTCTCTCCTCAGTCCTCTCTCCTCAGTCCTCTCTCCTCTGTACTCTGTCCTCAGTCCTCTCTCCTCTGTTCTCTCTCCTCTGTCCTCAGTCCTCTCTCCTCAGTCCCACCCATAATAATCATATTTGTGGCTGTAATCAGAGTGTGTAGGATGTAAATACATCTGGAAGGAAACACTTCATCTGCAACAGAAGCTGAACACAAGACTGCTGGAGAATCAAAAACAGGGTGAGAGGTCTCTCTCTGGTCTCTTTCTGGTCTCTTTCTGGCCTCTTTTTCCTCTCTGGTCTCTCTCTGGTGTGTGTGTGTGTTTTGTCTTAATCTGTATAATGAGCTCCCCTCTGATGTTTTCTAATGGTTCTCACTTATAACTGTTTAAAACTTACACAATTTTCTCTCACTCTGAAAACTACCAACAGACTAAAGCTGAGGAGGAGACCAGAGAGAGACCAAAGAGACCAGAGAGAGAGACTAGAGGGAGAGAGACCAGAGGGAGAGAGACCAGAGGGAGAGAGACCAGAGACAGACTAGAGGGAGAGAGACCAGAGAGGGACCAGAGAGAGACCAGAGGAGAGGCCAGAGAGAGAGACCAGAGAGGGACCAGAGAGAGACCAGAGAGAGGCCAGAGAGAGAGACCAGAGAGGGACCAGAGAGAGACCAGAGGGAGAGAGACCAGAGCGCGAGACCAGCGAGAGAGACCAGAGAGAGAGACCATACTAAGGCGTGTTCTGAATGGCACAAGTCAAAGATGTGGATTATTTAACATTATAGATAATTGTCTGTATAAGGAGCAAACACACGTCTCATTATAGTGAATGTCATGTTTAAGACCTGACTTGACATTGTTCAGTGTGTGTGTGTGTGTTAGTGTGTGTATTTATGTATGTGTGTGTGTGTGTTAGTGTGTGTATTTATGTATGTGTGTGTGTGTGTTAGTGTGTGTATTTATGTATGTGTGTGTGTGTTAGTGTGTGTATTTATGTATGTGTGTGTGTGTGTGTTAGTGTGTGTATTTATGTATGTGTGTGTGTGTTAGTGTGTGTATTTATGTATGTGTGTGTGTGTGTGTGTTTGTATGAACTTTTAGAAAATGCCAGAATGAAACAGTGATGCTAGGACCTTTTCCTGTACTCCCACGTCTTTCTCAACTTTCTCTAAACTCTAGAAATAGAGCTGAAGTCTGTAGATTTCAGACCATATCAATGAGACTATGTATAAACCAATGTCTTTACCTCAAGGCTTTAAAGGCCTTTGTCTGATCTTTTTGCTCTCTTTCAAGATTTCATGACATGTGTCGGCTCAGGTCACATGACACACGTGTCCCCACAAGTCACATGTGTCCCCACATGACACATGTGTCCTCACAAGTCACATGACACATGTATCCCCACAAGTCACATGACACATGTGTCCCCACATGACACATGTGTCCCCACAAGTCACTTGATACATGTGTCCCAACCGAGTCCAAAATCCAGGTATAAAGTGAAACAGCAAAGTCAGACTTTTCAAAACTGTCAATCACACTCGTGGGCTGTGGGACGCTCGAGCCAAACCGAGCGGCTGCATCTAAACACCAGAAGTGCTATACCAGAGAGCGACCAGCTGCGATGTCTTCTGTACCAATCAAGTCTGGACTTCTTACTGTATGTCTCTCGGAATCGTGGACACACGAGAACTCTCCCATTGATCTATTAAACGTGAATGGACAGAACATGTTTAGACGGGACAGAACTGAAGGGCGTGGAGGGGGCGTGTTGGTTTATGTTAATGACTGGACAGTAGACCCTGGACTTGAATGTTTTGGCCTTAAAGTCACTCTGGCAGAACAAATGTCTTTTATTTTGCTGGCATTATATAGACCCCCCAAATACAAAGTGTTTTTTTTTTTATGAGAAGTTAAATAATTTGATAAAGCAATGTGATATGAAATAATATTAATAGGAGATTTTAACATTAATTGGAACGATAAAGAATTAAAACAGATTTTATGTAATGATGATTTGAACCAGATCATTGAGGGACCAAGCAGAATCACCAATACATATGGAACGCTCATCGATCTGATTCTCACTGACTGGCCAGATCGAATTAAGAAGAGCTACAATAAACTGTATTGTCAGATCAAAACACGATGCTCCCTGTGAGGAAACTGAGAACTAGAATTAAAGGCATTTCTAATACGAAAGAAGAACACCTAAAAATTCCAAAAAACCAATTACCTTTGCTTGAACAAACAATTATGGATCGATTGGGCTCAGTATGTTCAGGAGAAATGTCCAGAAAGCAGCTGCAGTCTTTTTATGAATCGACTCAAAACAATTATAAACAGGAAAGGGAAATAAGTTGCTCTGGTTAAGGAGATATTTGATCTTTTATGAAACAAAGGGATCATGCTCTCAAAGTGGCTCTTAAAAGTAAGAAAGATGATGATAGGCGATTGTTTACAACTTTGAGAAATAAAGTCAGAAAACTGATAAGAAATGCAAAAGCTTCTTTTTTCATTAATGTTATAAACAATTCAAAGCAAAGGAAATATGGCAGAATCTAAACAGATGAATGGGAAATGTAAGTGTCATTTTGTTACATCCATACAAACATTGACGACCCTAAAAACCAATGACACAGTCAAAGATGGAAACAATGATCTTATCAAGGGCAAAGGATATCTGTGATATTGACACCCTGTTTTTAAAATCAAACAGAGAATCATTAATACATTGGTCAATGACTGAAGGACTGCTGTAATCACACCCATCTTTAAATCAGACGAACAAATGAACACAATCAACTACAGACCAAGAAGCTTTCTCCCGACAATATCAAAAGAATTGGAAAAATCCAGAGCAAATCATTTCTCATTTAAATTATTCACCATTTACGTTGCATCCTATGCAATTTGGATTTCGTAAATTTAATTCCACCGATACTGCAAACATTTATCTCATGAAGAGTATCAAAGCAAAATCGTACAGAGGGGGTATAGTTGGGGCCATCTAACTCGACTTCAGAAAAGCCTTTGATACTGTCAACTCAGACATATTATCTAAATTTAATTTTTCACCAAAGGTTCTACGATGGGTGGAATCATACCTAAAAGACAGAAAACAGGGTGTCAGGGGTAAAAATAAAACCTCTGAGGTAATGTTTAATCATGTAGGTGTGCCCCAGGGCTCAACCCTTGGCCCTTTACTATTTAGTTTATTTATCCATGATCTGCCTGATGTGTGTTCTGAAGCATCATATAAGTTTAAATGCTGACGACACCATCATTTATGGTGTTTATGACATCTGCAATGGTGTCAGTCTGTGATTGGTTAAACATTCAAAATTACACCTGAATCCAAGTAAGACTATGTGCATGTTCTTTTCTAAGTCGGCCCCCAAAGAGAGTGATCCAATAGCTTTGGTGGATGGGCAAGCACCACAGATGGTGCAAGAGTAAAAGTATGTAGGCATCACTCATTCTCAATTATCATTTAAAAAACACGTTAAGAAATTGAGGAACAAAATTATATTCAATTTAGTGAATTTTAAACATTAGAATTAACTTAACAACTGAGGCTTCAAAATCACTGTGTAACGAGTTGGTCTCAGGCCAATGAGACCCAGTGTTGCCCATAGAAAGACTTCATGAGCAGACAGTAAAACATTAGACAAAAAGAACAATTATTTTTTGAGCATATTTGGACGTAATTATGGTCTATAAAACTCTAAATGGACTCGCCCCGCCCCCATTGCAGGAGTTCATACAGCTGAATGTCAATGTCAATGTCAACTTTATTTATATAGCACATTTACAACAACACCAGCTGCCCAAAGTGCTTCACAGGCACGAATGATAAAAATAAAAATAAAACAGTATAAAATACATACACATACATGTACACTCACATACATTTACATATACGTTTACATATACATAATGTAAACTCAAACACACGATCGTCGAGCAGAGGAGACTAAAATCCCATTTAGAAAGACTGTGTTTGGACGATCTGCCTTCTCAGATCGAGCAGCACACTCCTGGAACCTGATCCCAACAGAACTGAGGAACCTGACCTCAATCCACACTTTTAAAAACTCTGTAAAGCAGTGGCTTGTGGACGATGAGAAATGTGAACACATGGTCTAAAGTCACAAACACTGATACGTGGCTGGTGTTTTGTGGATTTTCCTCTGATCTTTGTTCTGTGCTAATTTATCCATTTGACCACATGTTACATCCCCGGTTTAGTAATGTCTTTGTGAGGCTGTGTGTTTGTGCCTATTGTATGTTTATTTTATCTGTTTTGATACCAACCTGTCATGGGACTACGGATGAAAGTTAGCCTACATGGCTAACTCTGGCACATTTACATGTTGAAAAACACATGTTGATTGATGTGCACTATCCCAATTCAAATAAAGATTACAGGTCACATGACACATGTGTCCCCACAGGTCACATGTGTCCCCACAGGTCACATGTGTCCCCACATGACACATGTGTCCCCACATGACACCTGTGTCCCCACATGACACCTGTGTCCCCACAGGTCACATGACACATGTGTCCCCACATGACACATGTGTCCCCACAGGTCACATGTGTCCCCACAGGTCACATGTGTCCCCACATGACACCTGTGTCCCCACAGGTCACATGACACCTGTGTCCCCACATGACACATGTGTCCCCACAGGTCACATGACACCTGTGTCCCCACATGACACATGTGTCCCCACAGGTCACATGACACCTGTGTCCCCACATGACACATGTGTCCCCACAGGTCACATGACACTTCTCTACTGTGCTGTACTCTACTGTTCACTTTGCACTTTCTTGACATTCACTGTGAGTTAGAACACTTTAGAACCAGCTCGGCCTGGACAGAACCAGGACCAAAAGGGACTAAAGAAGGACCTGGCACTGGTTACACAGGACCAGAGGAGACTCAGGGGAGAGTAGAGTAAGTAAAGTTTATTTTATATAGCACAGACCAAAGTCACTCAAAGCTTTACAATGTTCAGTTTCTCTCCACACAGTGACGACAGAAGACACTGGACACACTGGACCATCAAAGCTCTGACCAAACACCATCAAAGCCTCCAACTTCACACAAACTTTGGTCTCTCTCTAGTCTCTCTCTGGTCTCTCTCTCTGATCTGTCTCTGGTCTCTCTCTCTGGTCTCTCTCTGGTCTGTCTCTGGTCTCTCTCTGGTCTCTCTCTGGTCTCTCTCTAGTCTCTCTCTCTGGTCTCTCTCTGGTCTCTCTCTCTGGTCTCTCTCTGGTCTCTCTCTCTGGTCTCTCTCTGGTCTCTCTCTGGTCTCTCTCTGGTCTCTCTCTGGTCTCTCTCTCTGGTCTGTCTCTGGTCTCTCTCTGGTCTCTTTGGTATCCTCCTCTGTGTCCTTGATCCTCCTCCTGAGGCTGAGGAGTCACAAATCGCTCGATACAAAAGTCAAATATTAAAATATGATTCTGAAAACTGTGATGAATTAAAGATGGAGCATCTGCTTCAGATTCACTCCTGAAGCTTTAGACCCAGGACTGAGGCCGTAGACCCAGGACTGAGGCTGTAGACCCAGGACTGAGGCTGTAGACCCAGGACTGAGGCTGTAGACCCAGGACTGAGGCTGTAGACCCAGGACTGAGGCCATAGACCCAGGACTGAGGCTGTAGATCCAGGACTGAGGCTGTAGATCCAGGACTGAGGCTGTAGATCCAGGACTGAGGCTGTAGACCCAGGACTGAGGCTGTAGACCCAGGACTGAGGCTGTAGATCCAGGACTGAGGCTGTAGATCCAGGACTGAGGCTGTAGACCCAGGACTGAGGCCGTAGACCCAGGACTGAGGCTGTAGACCCAGGACTGAGGCTGTAGATCCAGGACTGAGGCTGTAGATCCAGGACTGAGGCTGTAGACCCAGGACTGAGGCTGTAGACCAGTGGGAGGACCACAGTCCACAGGTGCAGATGAAGGATTACCATCATCACACCATGAAACAGAGAATGGGACAGTGGGTGAATAGCAATGAACAGACTACAGCTAAAGTCATAATGATGATGCATGCCCAGACCCTCCCTCTCAGGTCCAATCTATAATAATTTATGATAATTTAAGATATAATAATCCATAATAATCCATAACAATCTATAATAATTGAATCCATATACAATAATCTATAATAATCTTAATTATCTAAAAAATCTAATCAAAAATGTCTATAGAGTTCTATAATAAGCGAATCCATAGTAATCCATAATAATATAATCTATAATGATCTAATCTATAATGATCCATAGTAATCTATAATAATCTAATCTATAATAATCCATAGTAATCTATAATTAATAATCTATAATCTATAATAATCTATAATAATCTATAATAATCTATAATAATCCATAATAATCTATAATAATCCATGGTTCTACAAGTCTTCAAACAGAGTGAGAGGAGCTGTGTGGGACCTGAGGAGGCTGCGAGGAGAGCGCGGTGTTGTTGTGGTCAGAATAAATGTATGAGCCGCTGTGACTGAGGCCCCTGATCCGGCCCCGGGCCCCGACATGTTTGTCTTCCTCCTCCATCAATGATTAATACAGTGTGTGTGTGTGTGTGTGTGTGTGTGTGTGCTCTGGTCTCTTGCTGATCTCACTCTGGTCTCTCTCTGGTCTCTCTCTCTGGTCTCTCTCTCTCTCTGGTCTCTCTCTGGTCTCTCTCTGGTCTCTCTCTGGTCTCTCTCTCTGGTCTCTCTCTCTGGTCTCTCTCTCTGGTCTCTCTCTGGTCTCTCTCTGGTCTCTCTCTGGTCTCTCTCTGGTCTCTCTCTCTGGTCTCTCTCTGGTCTCTCTCTGGTCTCTCTCTCTGGTCTCTCTCTGGTCTCTCTCTCTGGTCTCTCTCTGGTCTCTCTCTCTGGTCTCTCTCTGGTCTCTCTCTGGTCTCTCTCTGGTCTCTCTCTGGTCTCTCTGGTCTCTCTCTCTCTGGTCTCTCTCTGGTCTCTCTCTCTGGTCTCTCTCTGGTCTCTCTCTCTGGTCTCTCTCTGGTCTCTCTCTGGTCTCTCTCTGGTCTCTCTGGTCTCTCTCTCTGGCAGAGGTGGGACAAAGTCATTGTTTAGCAAATCACAAGTCAGTCTCAATTCATTGCCCTCAAGTACCGAGTCAAGTCACGAGTCAAGACAGGCAAGTCCCGAGTCGAGTCCAAGTCAAAGGCCAACAAATCTCAAGTCAGTCCCAAGTCCTACGGTTTGACTTTCGAGTCCTCTCGAGTCTTTTTGACCGCGATTTGTTTCTTGTTGGTCTCCACGTACTTTTGTAGGCAAACAAAATAATGTTAGGAATCATTTTGCTGGTGCATTCTCGTTGGTCTCTGACCCATGGACTAACAGTTTGTTCCATGTCGTTGGCTGCTGGTAAATCAAAACTATCTACGTGATCTAATTGGATGTTGTGCCAGATGCAGGCTCAGTTACACATGCACAGACCACACATAAAATCAGAGCAGTCCGTGTCAACATACTTTTTATCTTTGGGGTTTTTAATGGGAAGTAGCAAGTGCAGCATATATGAATATGAGTATTGGGCTAGGACCTGTATCTATATAATCAGTTTAATGTCCGTAGTGGTTATTGTTCCAAATGTCCTACTGTAGAATAGGGGTAGTATGAGGGGTCTAGGCTTTGGACCTGGGGCAGCTCGCCATCAACTGGACCAGCATTAGTAATATCTCATAATTACCAATATATCATTACATAATAAAATGTCTCATATAAATTAATTCAATCAGTCAAAGCACTGATTCTCATATCAATGAACCATAAACAATAGTGCAAATATTAATCTAGCTTAGTGCACATAATCAAAACAACTATCTAATGTATGCAAACTTTAGCAGGAGGAGCACAGCAAAAACATACTCATAATAATAGGCCTCGGCGCCCACACAGAAAAATATAAGAAAGAGCCAACAGAGCAGCGCAGGCTAGCGCTAGTTTGACTCACCAGTTCCTCTTTAAAACACGGCACAGAGTGTGACAACTGCGTCGATTCAATTGTATGAGGCGCCTGTAGTGAAAGCATATCAATTACGGTTTGTAGAACAAAATATGACGTTAGGTCGCGATAAATACCTGCAGCTCTCTCATTTCCAGCTTCCCTAGACAACACACCCACCGGTGAATGCAGTCCGCTTGTTTAGGGAAGTGTTGCTGCGCGAACCAGTGTTGCCAACTCCTCAGTAAGGAAAGTAGCTATTGGCTGTCCCAAAAGTCGCTAGAAGTCGCTAAATGACGTCATCGCCTAATTTGCATAATTTGCCATTTGCAAATAACTGTAACGGACGCTGTAGGAGAGAGGAATAAGGTCGTGAGAGAGACAAAAGTGAGTAAAAACACCCTAAATATGTTTAGAACTACAAATGTACAAAAATAATTTCAACATTAACAACATTTAATGATTTTAATGCTTTGTCTAGATCCACATTACACACATCAGTTTTGTCCTGTATTGTTAAATGTTATAACAGCAAATGTAATCAAAAGATTGTTATGTAGGGTGAAATTGCTAGCTCTACAACCAACCCTCCTCCTTTATCCGGGCTTGGGACCGGCAAAGTGACCCAAAAGACACACTCTGGCAGAGTTACTTTGGTTTATTTTTGTAAGTTTTTTTTTTTTTTCATAGTTTGGCATAACAAATGATTTAATGTGACCCACTACTGAGAGAAAACAGAGTCACGGACAGAGCTGCCGCGGATGGAGTGGGGGGTAGTGGGGGGTGGCGGTGGTAGGAGTGGCCGGGGAGCTTTGGATGTGTGGTGGTGGTGGAGCTGAAGTTCAGTCTGCAGCAGCCTGAAAACTCCCTGTGCTTTTGAGTCTCCTCTCTCTCTGCTCCGCCCATAGACTGTAGCTGGGACTGCTGCGCAAGGCTACTGTGAGACTGGCCGCCTGTAGTGCTTTGGGACGGGGGAGGGGCTCACGTTGAGGACAGCAGAACAATACGTGCTTCACGAGTCTCCAAAACACCAGATAAGTCGCCAAAACACCAGATAAGTCGCCAATAACACCAGAAAAAGTCGCTAGATTTGTCGCTAGTCACTTTTTTGAAAAAAAGTCGCTATAGGGGTCTGAAAAGTCGCTAAATCTAGCGACAAAGTCGCTAAGTTGGCAACACTGGCGCGAACTGCCTGGAACTCACGTTCGAACTCTCGCGCGAGCGCTACAACTACCGCGAGGCTTTGTTTCTTCAGAGACGGCATAGATAGAAAGAGAGATGCGGAGAAAGGTAAAAATGGCCCGGGTTACGCAAGTCTTTACAAGTCAATTGGCGCAAGTCCAAGTGAAAGTCAGAGTCATTGATGTTAAAGTCCAAGTCGAGTTGCAAGTCTTTTTATATTTGGTCAAGTCGAGTCTAAAGTCATCAAAATCATGACTCGAGTCTGACTCGAGTCCAAGTCACATGACTCGAGTCCACACCTCTGCTCTCTGGTCTCTCTCTCTGGTCTCTCTCTGGTCTCTCTCTGGTCTCTCTCTCTGGTCTCTCTCTGGTCTCTCTCTGGTCTCTCTCTCTGGTCTCTCTCTGGTCTCTCTGGTCTCTCTCTCTGGTCTCTCTCTCTGATCTCTCTCTGGTCTCTCTCTGGTCTCTCTCTGGTCTCTCTCTGGTCTCTCTCTGGTCTCTCTCTGGTCTCTCTCTGGTCTCTCTCTGGGCTCTCTCTGGTCTCTCTCTGGTCTCTCTCTGGTCTCTCTCTGGTCTCTCTCTGGTCTCTCTGGTCTCTCTCTCTGGTCTCTCTCTGGTCTCTCTCTGGTCTCTCTCTGGTCTCTCTCTCTGGTCTCTCTCTGGTCTCTCTCTGGGCTCTCTCTGGTCTCTCTCTGGTCTCTCTCTGGTCTCTCTCTGGTCTCTCTCTCTGGTCTCTCTCTGGTCTCTCTCTGGTCTCTCTCTGGTCTCTCTCTGGTCTCTCTCTGGTCCAGGCTCCTGCTGCTCAGTAAAAGCATTGTGTGGTTTCACAGCGTGGGGACCAGGGGCCTCGGTCCCGGGCCCCGCAGCATCAAACATTCACAAACGTTGTCAAAAACATGGTCATTGTGAAAATAAATTTTTAAACAGACACAGGTTTGAGGAGGAAGTGTCCTGCTGCGCTCACAACACACCTGCAGCTGTGTTTACCCCCGTCCATGCTCACATCAGGAGAGAGCCCACTGCTGTGTCTGTGTGGCTCAATGGACAACACTGCATCTACTCTCAGAGAAGGAGGAGAGAGGAGGAGAGAGAACCGAGAGAGGAGGAGAAGGGAGAGGAGAGAGAGAGAGAGAGAGAGAGAGAGGAGAGTGAGGATAGAAGAGGAGAAGGGAGAGAGAGGAGGAGAGAAGAGGGAGACACGTTCAGTGTTGATAAATGTCGTACATATAGAATGTTAAAGTGTCCTGGATCATCACATCCATTTCTTAGACACTAACAGACTCAGACTGTAGAACGAGGACTGTCTCTCTCTGGTCTGTCTCTGCTCTCTCTCTCTCTGGTCTCTCTCTGGTCTCTCTCTGCTCTCTCTGCTCTCTCTCTGGTCTCTCTCTGGTCTCTCTCTGGTCTGTCTCTGGTCTCTCTCTACGGTCTTTTTCTGGTCTCTTTCTGGCCTCTCTCTGGTCTCTCTCTGGTCTTTCTCTGGTCTCTCTCTGGTATCACTCTGGTCTTTCTCTGGTCTCTCTCTGGTATCACTCTGGTCTCTCTCTGGTCTCTCTCTGGTCTCTCTCTGGTATCACTCTGGTCTCTGTCTGGTCTCTCTCTGGTCTCTCTCTGGTCTTTCTCAGCTCTTTGAAAAAACATTTGTAAAACAGACTCTAACTTTCCCGGAGACTCGTGTTTCAGCTGCTGCTCCATCGCCGGCCCCTGGCTCCGGAGCCCACTCGGATTCTCAGGGCCACAGCCACCGACTCCATCCGTCTGCGTTTCCACGGCAACGCGAAGGCCAGCTCCGCTCAGTATCCTCCAGCTCAGAACGAGACCGAGAATCAAGGTCTGAGCAGCAAGAGACCGAGACACTCTTTATCTCTTTAAAGACACTGTACACCACAACTGTAGCACTCAGAGACTAGAAGGAGACTAGAGAGGAAGCAGAAAGGGAACAGAGGGAGCAGAGAGAGACCAGAGAGAGACCAGAACGAGACCAGAGCGAGCCCATGAGTTCCATTTTAAATCCTCAACTTTTCTTCACCAATGTTTGCTTTGTTCTTTTAGTCACTTTTGTAAATATCTTAAATAATTCCAGTTATATTTGGATTATCCAGAATGATCTCAGACCAATCTCGCAGACTGATCTCAGACTGATCTCACACAGACTGATCTCAGACTGATCTCACACAGACTGATCTCAGACTGATCACAGACTAATCTCACACAGACTGATCTCAGACTGATCACAGACTGATCTCAGACTGATCTCACAGACTGATCTCTCAGACTGATCTCAGACTGATCTCACAGACTGATCTCTCAGACTGATCTCAGACTGATCTCACAGACTGATCTCAGACTGATCTCACAGACTGATCTCAGACTGATCTCACAGACTGATCTCACAGACTGATCACAGACTGATCTCAGACTGATCTCACAGACTGATTTCAGACTGATCTCACAGACTGATCTCAGACTGATCACAGACTGATCTCAGACTGATCTCACAGACTGATCTCACAGACTGATCTCAGACTGATCTCACAGACTGATCTCACAGACTGATCTCAGACTGATCTCACAGACTGATCTCACAGACTGATCACAGACTGATCTCAGACTGATCTCACAGACTGATCTCACAGACTGATCTCACAGACTGATCTCAGACTGATCTCAGACTGATCTCACAGACTGATCTCACAGACTGATCTCAGACTGATCTCACAGACTGATCTCTGACTGATCTCACAGACTGATCTCAGACTGATCTCACAGACTGATCACAGACTGATCTCACAGACTGATCTCACAGACTGATCTCACAGACTGATCTCAGACTGATCACAGACTGATCTCAGACTGATCTCACAGACTGATCTCACAGACTGATCTCACAGACTGATCACAGACTGATCTCAGACTGATCTCACAGACTGATTTCAGACTGATCTCACAGACTGATCTCAGACTGATCACAGACTGATCTCAGACTGATCTCACAGACTGATCTCACAGACTGATCTCAGACTGATCTCACAGACTGATCTCACAGACTGATCACAGACTGATCTCAGACTGATCTCACAGACTGATCTCACAGACTGATCACAGACTGATCTCAGACTGATCTCACAGACTGATCTCACAGACTGATCTCAGACTGATCTCAGACTGATCTCACAGACTGATCTCACAGACTGATCTCACAGACTGATCACAGACTGATCTCAGACTGATCTCACAGACTGATCTCACAGACTGATCTCACAGACTGATCTCACAGACTGATCACAGACTGATCACAGACTGATCACAGACTGATCTCACAGACTGATCTCACAGACTGACATACAGCGCGGTGCAGTACTGTGTGTGTCCTGCAGGGGGCGGCAGAGAGCTGGCAGAGCAGACCAGTCTCTCACAAACACTTGAGCCGCTGCTGCTGATCATCTCACACTTATTCATTAAGAGAAGCAGATTTTTGAAGAGTGACAGAAGCAGAGCCACAAACTCTGGACTTAAAACTGAGGGACGTAACTTTCAGACCACGACAAGACTCTGTATTAGACCCTTTTCTCTGGACCTGGATTTAAAACGGTTTCATTTTGTTATTGCTTTGTATTTCTGTCTCATCTTTAGATCAGCTTCTTCATAAAAAAACATAATAACTCTAATCTCTCTCTGGTTTTTCCCTCTGGTTTCTCTCTGGTCTTTCTCTCTGGTCTCTCTCTCTGGTCTCTCTCTGGTCTCTCTCTCTGGTCTCTCTTGTCTGTCTCTGGTCTCTGTCTCTGGTTTCTCTCTGGTTTCTCTCTGGTCTGTCTCTGGTCTCTCTCTGGTCTCTCTCTGGTCCAAATGAGATTAGACAGAATTTTGTGTCTGATTTGTTTAGAACATTTTACTTTTTAAAAAATTACTTACATTATTTCTGTCATTGATGAGACTAAAGTTACGTCCCTCAGCTTTAATCAGAGAAAGTTACGTCCCTCAGCTTTAATCAGAGACAGTGAAACTCCTCTGACCCTAACCCTTTGTTGTGGCGCTGTTTTCAGCGCGACTGCAGTTCCTGCTGTGGCCGCGGGGGGCGCTGTGTCAGTGAGAGTGATGGGACATGATGTACAGAACACTGTGTGCTCTGGACCCAGCCCCACACGCGGACAACGGAAACACGAAGAGAATTATAATAATAATCATATTAATAATAATCATCATCATCATCATAATTATTATTGATATTATTTTTATTATAATTCGAAGAAGAAGAATAGTAGTAGAAGTAATAATAATAATGATATTAATAATAATAATACCAGAAGGTGAGACTAGAGAGACCAGAGAGAGACCAGAGAGAGACCAGAGAGGGACCAGAGAGAAACCAGAGAGAGACCAGAGAGAGAGACCAGAGAGAGAGACCAGAGAGAGACCAGAGAGAAACCAGAGAGAGACCAGAGAGAGACCAGAGAGAGACCAGAGAGAGAGACCAGAGAGAGACCAGAGAGAGAGAGACCAGAGAGAGACCAGAGAGAGAGAGACCAGAGAGAGACCAGAGAGAGAGACCAGAGAGAGACCAGAGAGAGAGAGACCAGAGAGAGACCAGAGAGAGAGAGACCAGAGAGAGACCAGAGAGAGAGACCAGAGAGAGACCAGAGAGAGAGAGACCAGAGAGAGAGAAACCAGAGAAAGACCAGAGAAACCAGAGAGAGACCAGAGAGAGAGACCAGAGAGAGAGAGAGAGACCAGAGAGAGACCAGAGAGAGACCAGAGAGAGAGACCAGAGAGAGACCAGAGAGAGAGAGACCAGAGAGAGACCAGAGAGAGAGAGACCAGAGAGAGACCAGAGAGAGACCAGGTTAAGGTTAGCCTGGTTGTACCACACCATAGTACAAATTACATTTTGTACTAAGGTCTGGATTTTCTCCTTTGACTCTGTGAACAGGTGGGAGGGGTTAACTCCTTTTGCAGATTGAAACAATTGGATCTGAGTTTACACGGGATGTATGTAGTGCACTCGAGTCTGTTGTTAGCATTAGCATTTAGCTTAGCCACCTCCTTTGCTGCTAACGGAGCCCGTGGGGAGTAGTGCCACATATTTTCCAGCGATTACATTTGCTAAACATTCCTCTTGCTCCTGCTTCAATTTCTTGATATAAACAGACCGGATTACTTTACTATCGCATTTTTCGCCACTGCCAAACCACAACCTGCCCGTTCGACGCAAACTCTTGACGTCACCGGCACCGACCTACAACACCCGCCTTCTGCGCTCTCTGTGTGCTGGGACTCTGAGGAGCACAGGGACTGGACTCCTTCTGGGACTCTGAGGAGCACAGGGACTGGACTCCTGCTGGGACTCTGAGGAGCACAGGGACTGGACTCCTTCTGGGACTCTGAGGAGCACAGGGACTGGACTCCTGCTGGGACTCTGAGGAGCACAGGGACTGGACTCCTTCTGGGACTCTGAGGAGCACAGGGACTGGACTCCTGCCGGGACTCTGAGGAGCACAGGGACTGGACTCCTGCCGGGACTCTGAGGAGCACAGGGACTGGACTCCTGCCGGGACTCTGAGGAGCACAGGGACTGGACTCCTACTGGGACTCTGAGGAGCACAGGGACTGGACTCCTTCTGGGACTCTGAGGAGCACAGGGACTGGACTCCTGCCGGGACTCTGAGGAGCACAGGGACTGGACTCCTGCCGGGACTCTGAGGAGCACAGGGACTGGACTCCTGCCGGGACTCTGAGGAGCACAGGGACTGGACTCCTGCTGGGACTCTGAGGAGCACAGGGACTGGCCTCCTGCTGGGACTCTGAGGAGCACAGGGACTGGCCTCCTGCTGGGACTCTGAGGAGCACAGGGACTGGACTCCTGCTGGGACTCTGAGGAGCACAGGGACTGGCCTCCTGCTGGGACTCTGAGGAGCACAGGGACTGGTCTCCTGCTGGGACTCTGAGGAGCACAGGGACTGGACTCCTGCTGGGACTCTGAGGAGCACAGGGACTGGACTCCTGCTGGGACTCTGAGGAGCACAGGGACTGGCCTCCTGCTGGGACTCTGAGGAGCACAGGGACTGGCCTCCTGCTGGGACTCTGAGGAGCACAGGGACTGGACTCCTGCTGGGACTCTGAGGAGCACAGGGACTGGACTCCTGCTGGGACTCTGAGGAGCACAGGGACTGGCCTCCTGCTGGGACTCTGAGGAGCACAGGGACTGGCCTCCTGCTGGGACTCTGAGGAGCACAGGGACTGGCCTCCTGCTGGGACTCTGAGGAGCACAGGGACTGGCCTCCTGCTGGGACTCTGAGGAGCACAGGGACTGGCCTCCTGCTGGGACTCTGAGGAGCACAGGGACTGGCCTCCTGCTGGAACTCTGAGGAGCACAGGGACTGGCCTCCTGCTGGGACTCTGAGGAGCACAGGGACTGGCCTCCTGCTGGGACTCTGAGGAGCACAGGGACTGGCCTCCTGCTGGGACTCTGAGGAGCACAGGGACTGGCCTCCAGCAGGAGACAGGGACTGGTCTCCTGCTGGGACTCTGAGGAGCACAGGGACTGGACTCCTGCTGGGACTCTGAGGAGCACAGGGACTGGACTCCTGCTGGGACTCTGAGGAGCACAGGGACTGGCCTCCTGCTGGGACTCTGAGGAGCACAGGGACTGGTCTCCTGCTGGGACTCTGAAGAGCACAGGGACTGGTCTCCTGCTGGGACTCTGAGGAGCACAGGGACTGGCCTCCTGCTGGGACTCTGAGGAGCACAGGGACTGGCCTCCTGCTGGGACTCTGAGGAGCACAGGGACTGGCCTCCTGCTGGGACTCTGAGGAGCACAGGGACTGGCCTCCTGCTGGGACTCTGAGGAGCACAGGGACTGGCCTCCTGCTGGGACTCTGAGGGAGCACAGGGACTGGCCTCCTGCTGGGACTCTGAGGAGCACAGGGACTGGCCTCCTGCTGGGACTCTGAGGAGCACAGAGACTGGCCTCCTGCTGGGACTCTGAGGAGCACAGGGACTGGACTCCTGCTGGGACTCTGAGGAGCACAGGGACTGGCCTCCTGCTGGGACTCTGAGGAGCACAGGGACTGGTCTCCTGCTGGGACTCTGAAGAGCACAGGGACTGGTCTCCTGCTGGGACTCTGAGGAGCACAGGGACTGGCCTCCTGCTGGGACTCTGAGGAGCACAGGGACTGGCCTCCTGCTGGGACTCTGAGGAGCACAGGGACTGGCCTCCTGCTGGGACTCTGAGGAGCACAGGGACTGGCCTCCTGCTGGGACTCTGAGGAGCACAGGGACTGGCCTCCTGCTGGGACTCTGAGGAGCACAGGGACTGGCCTCCTGCTGGGACTCTGAGGAGCACAGGGACTGGCCTCCAGCAGGAGACAGGGACTGGTCTCCTGCTGGGACTCTGAGGAGCACAGGGACTGGTCTCCTGCTGGGACTCTGAGGAGCACAGGGACTGGACTCCTGCTGGGACTCTGAGGAGCACAGGGACTGGACTCCTGCTGGGACTCTGAGGAGCACAGGGACTGGCCTCCTGCTGGGACTCTGAGGAGCACAGGGACTGGTCTCCTGCTGGGACTCTGAAGAGCACAGGGACTGGTCTCCTGCTGGGACTCTGAGGAGCACAGGGACTGGTCTCCTGCTGGGACTCTGAGGAGCACAGGGACTGGCCTCCTGCTGGGACTCTGAGGAGCACAGGGACTGGCCTCCTGCTGGGACTCTGAGGAGCACAGGGACTGGCCTCCTGCTGGGACTCTGAGGAGCACAGGGACTGGCCTCCTGCTGGGACTCTGAGGAGCACAGGGACTGGCCTCCTGCTGGGACTCTGAGGAGCACAGGGACTGGCCTCCTGCTGGGACTCTGAGGAGCACAGAGACTGGCCTCCTGCTGGGACTCTGAGGAGCACAGGGACTGGACTCCTGCTGGGACTCTGAGGAGCACAGGGACTGGCCTCCTGCTGGGACTCTGAGGAGCACAGGGACTGGTCTCCTGCTGGGACTCTGAAGAGCACAGGGACTGGTCTCCTGCTGGGACTCTGAGGAGCACAGGGACTGGCCTCCTGCTGGGACTCTGAGGAGCACAGGGACTGGCCTCCTGCTGGGACTCTGAGGAGCACAGGGACTGGCCTCCTGCTGGGCCAGGTTTACAAATGCAGCCTCGCGGAAATTCAATTTGGAAGACGTCAGCCAAAGCCACCCCTTCCAGGCCGGCCTCGCATCCCCAGCCTATCGCAGCAAACGCCCATTTCCAACCAACCTACGCCGGCCAGGCAGCCGCTTAAAAGCGGAGAAACTCCCACTTCACGGCCTCTCGAAGCCTTGCAACCACTGCCTCCCCTCCTCCTCCTTTTCTCACCCTGCCTCAATCATGCCTCTTCCTGCTGCCAAATGCCGCCACCAGTGCCTAGGTCCCGGGGGATCGTGCGCGCACTCTCGCAGGAGCCTCGCTGACTGAACGCCGCACCGGGGCCTGGGGCGCCAAACTACCTCTCAATAAAAAACTTCAAAGGCATTCAAATACAACTCCTGAAGTCCTGTAAATACTGTAAAAATACTGTGAGACAGGCGTCTACTCTGGCAGTTTTTAAAACTAAACTGAAAACAGTTCTTTTTAGCTGTGCATACAAGTGAATGATTTTATATTTGTTTTTATCTTTAATCTTTTTAATGTGCTTTGACTATTTATGATTTTAATCCCTTGTGTGATTTTAATGTTTTACGGTTTTTAACTACTTGTGTGATTTTATTTTTTATGTTTTTAATATATCTTGTGCTCTTAATCTGTCTTTTTATGTTTACTTAAATTCTAGTGTTTGGTGATTTATGCATGATGTTATATGGGCTGTGAAGCCTTGTGTAGGAAAGGCGCTCTACAAATAAACGTTGATTGATTGATTGATAAAGTACTTTTGTAAAGTACTTCTATCTGTACATGGCAAAGGGGACGACATTGGCACACATAGTACTGTATACTACAGTCACACATAGTACTGTATACTACAGTCACACATGGTACTGTATGCTACAGTCACACATAGTACTGTATACTACAGTCACACATAGTGCTGTATACTACAGTCACACATAGTACTGTATGCTACAGTCACAC